GTATGTACATTTTGCCAATGCATAAGGCATAGTGAAAGCAAGATGGTTCAAGGTTGAAATACGACCATGCACATTAATATTCATATGCATGAATATTATTCATACTGGTATTTTCTTTGGTTGTTCGTAAAAGTAAAATGTAAATATTCAACTATACGAAGAATGTTGAAATACAATAGAATATCAGTCACTTAGTATTCATAATGTTTCTGTTATACATGATCATCATGTATTACATGCGCTTTCAGAAACTTTAAGTTTGTTTTCAAATGTCTAAAGTCTTATTACTAAAGTTACCGGTATTTTCAAAGTCAAAGGCCGGCACAACTTGTTGAAACACTTATATATATAAATAAATATATAAAGTGTATTTAATATAATATTTAAACATATATTTAAATTGTTTCAATTGCTACAAAATATTTTAAAACTAAAATGGGAGGAAAAAAACTCGATCTCCCACTGAGAATTGATCTCAAACTATATTATCCCCAAGCGTCCACTCTACCACTTGACCACACAAGATCTTCTCCAACAAGTATATCTTAAAACCAGGCCAATGGTAAATTTTTGCCGCGGTGTACCCAGGCCAAAGCCCACGATTTCACTAGGTACACCGCCGCGGTTTACGCAGGCCAAAGCCGATGGTTTCGCTAGGTACACCGCCGCGGTGTACGCATCCACTTCGTTTGAAATATCCTAACAAGAATTGGACGTTAAACGTTATTATGTAATGTCATGTCATTTTTATGTTACAATAAATTTTGTGCTTGCCAATTGATTTTAGTAGTATGTTACTTGACTCTTTTTAACTAATCTGGTTTGTCAGAGTCAAAACTCAACACCAGTTTACTGGTACAATGTTTACAAACATGGAAATGACGCAAGGTCACATGCTATTTTTCCATAATGCGCAAGCGCTAAAAAATTTACAGCTTTCACTAGCGGAAGATTTTGTTCCGCTTTAGAAGGCTGTTGCCAAGCATTTGTAAACCGAATCCCTTTGTAAACAATGAGAGAGTGAAGAGTTTTGAAGAAGAGAAATGATGACCTGCTAAATTAACATATAATACATCGTAAAAATGTACTCATTTGATTTGTTTTAGCTAAACCAACATTTGAAAGAACATTTGAAATGGCCACTGGCCATATATTACCTGGATATGGACAAACAGTAACCAATCTAAGAAGAGCTCGTTCTGCAGGTAGATATCCGCTTGATACCTTCGCTCTTCTTGAATTTCAAAAATCATCCCGTTTATCTCAGCACGAATTTGATCAAATACGTGCAAATGCAAGACAGCTTTGGAGCAATAGAACTCCAAAGCCTACCACATATGATACATATTTTAGTGGTGGGGAAATACTAGAAATAACACAAGCACAGGTTCGACCTACATCTGGTCATCGTCGTAATAATCCACACCCACCACAGTAAGTAAATCGGTTAATTTATTTTTAAAAATTATGAAACCTGCATAGTTATCATTAAAAATTCTTTAATGGTGTAATAATTACATTATTGGATATTCTATGTGTGGCAATGTGCCACTATTTGCAACTGCTTTTAGGTAACATTTTATATGCGGCAGTAGGGAACAGATAAGAATAAGAGAATCCACTCTCATAGTCATAGTGTGACTGCTATGGGTAACCCCAAGCACGGACACATCCATGGTCATTTAAAGTAACACACAGCTGTGTACTGGCCTTAAAATTTTTTGTTGGTTATTTACACGCCGGAATAACCATCCCTGCCCCGGGGTTGACCCATGGTCAGCTCGGGACGCGGGTTCCCTGTGACTGTGTGTGGAGGGGGGGAGTGAACTGGGACTTGGAGTGTGTACATTTGTTAGATTGTGGTGTGTAACGGATGCGTCGGGTCGGCGGCAGGTGTGAGAGATTTTCCTGTCGGCTCAGTCAACGGATTGTACCTTACATTAAAAAGCTATAGTTCTCAGACCTGATTGTTTTATTGTGATTTTATTTAAACTGTAAGCTACGTCACCACTCGGCTACATATGAATTCTATGAGGCATGAACCGTGATCATTTATGGTGAGATGTTATGAAATTAAAAACAGAAAAGCTTTCTTACTTTCTAGTTCTAGGGGCCATCCATAAATGATAATGATGCCCTCATGCAAATGTTGCTGATTTTTTCCCTCCCCACTTCGATCATCAAAAAAGTTAGACAGCCTCAAATTTAATATACAAACTTCTGCACCCGCACCCCACCCACCCCCCCCAATAAAATCAATCTGTCCTCTACTGTCCTTTACAAACCCTCACCAAAATCACCTCCCATAGATATTGGATATGAAATCATTGCACCTGTGTCAAAAACATAGAACAATGGTTCTTAAACAGGGTGAAAGTGCAGAAGACTCATAAAATAAATGTCATTTGCTGACATTAATAGTTGTTTCTGCCAAAAGTCAATGTTTTTTTTTCTGTTGAATTTTGTTTGCGCATTACTGGTATTACCGGTATGTCTTTTGTCTAGAAAGTTAGCTTAACAAATTAAACGACAAGAAATAAATTATTGAATTGTTATCAATTTTAACATTTTATAACAATTTAGTTTATATGGGGGTGGGGGTTTGTGAGAAATGCTTAGAAGTAGAAGTTTAGAGGGGATGTCGCACTGTGAAAAATTTAAGAATTTTAATTACGGGTACTAGCCTAGAACATTTACTAAAATCACCCCCACCCCCTCCAGTCCAACATTTTTCATTCCATCTCAATTCACATGGTAGCCCCAATTCTATGATTCCTGTCACCACATTTTGATAGTATATTTTAATGTACCAGTAATGAAATGTAGGCCTTAAACAGTCTCATCAAACGGCCCATTATTTGCTAGGTGTTTGGGCTGTAATGATGAGAAATGCTGCCCCTAAAATCCAAACAACAAGCTTTATTTTGAGAATATCAACGTGAGAAAGCGATACTTAATTCTGACAACTGTCAAAGTCACTACACCCTGATTCTGTGGCATTCTGTAACTTGATCAGAGGCCATTTCTCTGACCTTTCATGCATGAACTGTTTCTCTCTGTGATCTTAGCTTGAAAATAAAATAATTATAATTATTGTATGAATGTTAAAAAGGTCTGTAATTTAGTGTTTTTAAGTGCATTTTTTAACTACAATGTTCTGCTTTTAATGTGACGTCACATTGCTGATGAAATATGAACACATTATATAGGTCAAACCATACATTAATTATTATATAATTAAAACCTAATTTCTTGAAATTATTTATAAATTAATTTATCCAAGGTCAGAATGGGTTAAAATATTTCCTGCTAGTTTCCAGCCAAAATTAAAATATACAAACAAATTCACCACAATGATTTAACAATGAGTGTGGAATGGTCCCATATGAATTATGATAATACACTTTGTTGTTTTTTGTTTTTTTTAAAAACGCACATCCCATCCAGCTCAAAATTTTGAGTCAAATACAATAAGCTTTTGACCCATCTTGTTTGACCTTTGCTGGCGAATTATATATATAGATAATTATTAGTGTGGAAGCAACAAATTAGTTAGGGATATAAGGTTTAGTGACATTACACAAAGCTTATTGTATTTGACTCAAAATTTTAAATTTGGTTTAAATTCAGAGTTTGCCTTCTCTTAGATGGGTTGCCGTCCAAGGCTAACGAGTCCCATCCACCCGGAATGCTTGAAATGTTGACTTTGGTGGGGATTGAACTCCGGACCACCAGCCATTTGGTTTGAGACAGTTTAGACCGCTCGGCCACCCAGCATGTACCAGTAATCAAATGTAGGCCTTAAACAGTTTCATCAAACAGCCCATTATTTGCTAGGTGTTTGGGCTGTAATGATGAGAAATGCTGCCCCTAAAATCCAAACAACAAGCTTTATTTTGAGAATATCGACTTGAGAAAGCGATACTTAATTATTTTTTTTATTTAGCATTCTAATTTCTAAAAAATTATAAAATTTCAGAATATTTCTGACTAACAGACTTCATTATATTGGAAACGCAGATAAAACACAAGAAGATAAAGGTGAACAGACTTTTGTTTTATTTTTATTTCTCAATTTAATTGTCTGTCAACTATTGGTTTGTTTATTACAAAGAATACCAAAGGTAAACCTTGCTAGATTTATTAAAAATATGCACAATATTATTGTTTCCAGTTATATATGTCCTTTATGAACATTAAAACTTTTTTTTCTTTCTTAGAAGAAGATAATCCTGCAACCAAAGAAGAAAAACTACTGAATCAGAGAAAGTATGTAGGCCATTATGATTCAGCATTCCTGAACCAGTATAAAGATACTAATGTGAGTTTTATGATTGCATCAAGCTCTTCCTATAATTTTCCCTATATAAAATATAATGAAAATCAGTTTAAAAATGTGTTTTTAATATGTTTACCTGCAGCAATATATATATATTTTTTTATATATGTATAGCCTATAATTGAGCATAGTAATTAGTAAAACAGATGGTTTGAAATTTTAGTCTTTAGTTTTAACTGGGGAAATAATATAAATACAGATTATTTTTATTGTTAATAATAAATAAGTAATTATAAGTTTTAAATTTAACTTGTGTTCCAGGGCTTTAAGAACATTTTACCTCCTAGACAAGCACAGGCAGCAGAGGCCTGGGTCAAGCTTGCTGATGATATAGGTGTGCACTCAAAATTTCATTAAATTACTAAATCCTGTCAAAGTTGTAGGCAGACTGCCACATTTTTAACAATTATAAAAATTTTTATTGTGGTTGATAAATTGAAAATAATAAAATTCTAAAAGTAAAATTGTAATAGATTACCTATTTTAATGAATATCATCATTTAGCCCTGATAATTGAGAATAAGAAACAATATTATTATTTGTCATTTCTCATTCTAGATAAAGAAAGAGTATTTGACATTGTTAGAGACCATGAAGATTGGAAAAGCTTTCAGGTGAATTAAAAAAAACTGTTCAAATAAATTGGTTATGTTAAGAAGCTGCTTTTCACCAAATTAAGTTCAATTTTTATTTTATTTTTATCATTGCTTTTTATTACCAGGTGAAGTGAAAAAAAAAAAAAAAAAAGCTCAAAACTTAAAAACTGTAATTGATTAATGTCAACTATTAACTGACATTTTCAAATTTGAATTATCATTTATAACATAGGCACTGGGCAGACTTGATTTTGTATTGTTATATCTCTACTGTTTCAGGAGGAAAAATTGGTAAGGCGTCCAAAAACAGCTTATCCTTCCCTTCAAAGGTGGATGAAGTTCAGCGGTGCAGAAGGTAATTACACTGAATACAATAAAACATGGCACACTCAAGACATAAAACATGCATTAAAAACTATATTTTGGTTTTTCCATTCATGAAATACAAATTTATCATCAAATGAAGTTCAATTGCTTTTTAAAGTCAATAACTAACAGAAGATTACCTGTCTTTTATTTCCATTGCTTTTTGTTCAGGGGTGGAGAACCATTTAAATTGTCAACTATTTTGAAACAAAATTTGGTCAAGAACCAACCCGAAAAATAATAGTTGTGTCTTTTAAGCATGTGAAAAACCTTTTCAAATAGCAAATCACATAAGAGATAAAGAATATGGAATTGGTAGGAGTAATTTTGTAAAACATTAATAACTGAACTAATAGTAAAATGTAGTGAAATATTCTCTAAATAGATCCATTCTACCTAGAAAAAGTTAAATACCGGCATTCAATTTATGACATGACAAGTTCTCATACTGCAAAAATCATAGTAACAATATTTTACTTGTAGACAAACTAAAATGTTAATTTGGATTTCACTGTAAGAGGAAATATTTTCAAAGGCAAAAAATTATTTCATTGCATGACATAGTTGTCCTTAAAATGACACATTATACACCCAAAAAAAACAAACATGTTACTAAACCAATTTTTTCCCTTGAAGGTGAATCAAACTTTTATAAGGTATACTATTATATTATTAATGTGAACTTAAAAATTTTTTTTTTTTAATTTTAAAATTTCTGTTTGGAAATATAAATATTTCTTTCAGAAAATGAGGCAACCTCTCAAACAATGATGAAATCAAACCCCTTAATTAAATATGAAGACTCTTCATATTATGACCAAAAGAGAAGGGACAGCACTTCTGCTGGACAAACTTATCAGTACCCAAGGATAAGACGTGGAGATTATAGCATACATCCTGGCTGGCCTTCATCTCTTCCTCATCACAGGGTTCCATAAACATTTCCAAGTTGCTTTGTAATAAAATGCAGTTTCTAAATTAAACCTTTATGATCATATGAAGTAATTTTAAAAAAATTAATGTATGCATAAAATAGGAAAGAAATGTTTAAAATATGTCAAGGGTAAGGAAAAAGCAAGGCTTGAATTTAATTTTTTTTTTTACATTGGTAGAGTTCAGTTATGATAATACCACTTAGGTAAGCGTAATTTAGCCACATCTTAATTATTTTGTGGGTAAACCAGGGTTGGACAAATTTTTTGTAAATGGCTTACATTTTAAGTTAAGCTCAAAACACAAAAAATTTATTTTTGGAGAGGGGTGGGGGCCACATTAAGGGATAAATAAAGATATTTGCACAATGGCACAGCACATGGGAGCTAATGTTCTTTAATATATTTTGACCCTATAGATCATTTTCTCTTCTTCACCGCAATATAATGAGTTCATTTATTGATTTATACTATACATTTGATGGTAAGTTATGTCGATTACATAAGCATAGATTTGAGAGAGGAAACAATAGTACTTAGAAGCAGGTGGTCTCTGGTTATAAGTGTCAATGCATTATACTAAATTATAGTAGGGGTTAGGAGTCTCATTGATATTATAACTGCCTATGTATGTAAAAATTAAATGTTAATATTTGTTGCAATTTGCAAAAGTAAGCTAGTGATAGTCACTGATAGGAGATTCAATTTTTGGTAGGAACGTTGCGTTACAAGGTTATAAGTGAAAGTACTGCATAATTAATAGTTCCTGCAGAGGTAATCAAGCAGGGTACGAATGCAACTATAGATGAGTGACACATGCGGATCCAATGTAGTGCATTCTTTGAAATTTTAAATACTTTGAAATGTAATGGATTCCAAGCTCCTGAGCCTTACAAAGAGTTTGTGGGCCAGATTTGGCCGACGGGATGAGGTTTGCTAACCGCTGATGTAAATTTATAACAAAACGTTCAGTTTTTTTCAATACCGGTAATATTTATTTGGAGATATGTTGTTTTTTTTCGTACAACCAATATATTTAAAACTGTAACTTTAAGCCAAACATTACATGTACCAGTACATGTTATTTAGATTTAATTTTAAGAAATTCAAATGACTGTTCCCTTAATGATTGAATAGCTCAGGTAAGAGTTCATAATTACCTAATTTTTTATGTATACACTACATAGTTTAGGTACTTTAATTTATGTAACAGTTTTGTCCTTTAGTAATGTCAAACAAGGACTTTTTAGATATGTAAATGATTACATGTAATATAATTATATCATAGAAGGTTTAGGATAAGCCTTACCAGACTTTTTAGGATTAGCCTTACCAGACGTAACTATTTACATAGGTTAACAGTACATGTTCCATTAATGAATGTTTTAATGTAATACTGTGAAATTTTTTTAAATCGGGGGTGTCCAAAATTACCATGGCTCTATACAATCATGAGATTATCGTTGACAGCCCCAATAAACCTTGGACACCCTTGTTTTAACGATTGTCATCCAATCGCCTTTATATGTTATTTGGGTATGGGTACTACAATTTTAATTCACCACAAAAATTATCATTACTGCTATTCTGGCTATGCAGTCAGATCCGGTTTAATAAATACAAATGCTTCTGTAGACACCATGAATTCTTTGAAAATTGCTGCATTAGTTCACAATGAAGTCAGTTGCATCTTGTTTCTACAACAACACGGCATTATACATGCTGTCAGACGATGTGCTAACAACCACAAAGTTAACTGAATGCCAATACTCAAGGCATTGAACATATGTGGAAATTGGCAAAAGAGAGCACACACAGAAATATGCTCAATTCTTATTTGTGTGGGTTCATTTTGCGTCGATGTTTTAAAGTAAATGGTTTGAATATATTCAACCCCATTGTAGACGATATTGTTCAAATTTGGCCACCACAGTAGTGGAATAATTAAAAATTTTTGCATTGATTTAAAGGTTTTTATTCAAAAGAACATTTGTTTTATTGGAAGTATGAATAATATTTTTTGCGGTGAATTAAAATTGAAGTACCATTATTTGTGTGAACATGATTCTCCATTCATTTATCTTTTAATTAAAGAAGCTAATGTTATTCATGACATTTTCCCAGGTTTTATATCATTGAGTTAGTGTCTTGACTTTAATTTACTTAAATCCAAGAATAAATAACAACCATCAGAAGCACTGGATTTAAAATATTCAAGAACAAGTTTTGTATACGACTAACAAGCCATATTAAAAAAATACTTAGAATTAAGAATATTACTCAATATATTTAACCAAAAAAAATTAAAATTAACCTTCCACTGATAATTATTTATATGTACTTAGTGAATGAAAAAGACACAAAAAAACCTTTAGAAATGTTTATTTAAAGAAAGGCCTATCGCATGTTGATGACATGACAAACTGGATCAGGAAATGAGACGGTAGAAAAAGAAACATCACCTGACATGGAATGACATTAAGGGCTCTCATTTCTTATCAATGGGCACAAGCAACATTATGACATCCCTTTACTTTTAGTTTAAAGCACAGGTACATTCATGTGTACAAACACAGTTTTTGTGTATGTGGCACAATAAATGTTCAATATAAAGACAATCTTTAACAAAGAAATCGTGGAATGAGTGGGTAATATTTTCTACAAATACGGCATCTGTGAAGTCAACTTGGATCTGAAATGTTTTCAATTTTTGTTCTGTTTGCAAAGACAAACACCATTATGTAAATATAACAAAACATCCAAATATAAGAGTACAGTTAACAACAATAAGCCCACTAACATTTAAAAAAAAAAAAATTGAACTTAATTAAAAAAATAGTTTCCACAACAATGAACATGATAAAGGGGTGGTGTGAAATCTTAATCTGACAACTACATATTTATGTATTCATATTCAGCAACTTTTAATTTCTGACTAAGAAAAAAAATATAATTAATCTCTCGATCCTCAATTATTTTTTAAAATCCTATTTTATACAGTGTCATGAATGTCTTGCTTCCAATTCTCAAGCATTAGATAATAGGAAAATGATAGGATTAAGAATAGGGTTTCTCTCCCCGGATCCCTCACGATTTTTAGCAAACAAAAGACATCCCAGGGAATCCCAGGTACATACTTTCAGAATACAATTTTATTTTTAAAAATTTCAGACAGAGACAGATTGTCACTAATTGTCGCTATAAGCGGAGACCTGTAAAGTATAGTCAACCGTGCTGAATTAATTTAATTCAGTTAATTGTATATTTTTAATTAAATTAATACATCTCAGGATGAGGAAGAATTTGCTCCCGTTGTCCCGGGATAAGCAAAACTGCGGGAAACGTGAAATCCTAATTCAAATGTTAAACTTTTTGTTAGATGAAACAGTTGAAACTTTAAAATAAAAAAACAACTGACATGCATATGAAAGACTTGATACGAAAAAAATTACGACACAATAAAGAGATGTGCACTGCATTTTTTCATAATTAATATATAGTAGGTTGCTGTAAATAATTGCATACAGCAAATGGAAAGAGTTCAACAATCAAATTAAAAATAAAAAAGATTTAAAAATAATAAATTGGGCTCTATCTGTGTTGGACACTTTCCATTTACTGTTCTTCCCAGTGTTGATGTACAAGTTCATATAAACAATTCTTGTTACTCACAAAACACAATACAAAGAAGTACTTATGAGCATAAGATTAAGAAGGCAATTCTACAGTTTAAGCAAAAAAAATTTTTTTAAATTTCATACCTTGCTATAGGAGTATAAAATATTCCGTTTTTTAATAGGAAAAATGTTTACTTTAGCAATATTTGGTACTAAAAACCTTTTTAAATAATAATGCTTCAATGAAATCTGTAAATACTTAACAAATTAAGTAATATTTTTGTCTAAGAAACATTTCAATGTAATATGGCTGTATCAAAAACAATTAATGGATTCTTGGGTATGTTTATACATTTTAGAAAAATATCTAGCTCATTTAAATGTCCACTTACGTTAAAAAATATTCAAAAATGTAAAAACACATAAATGTGCTGTTAAAAGAATTTTATTACACAAATTAAGACCACAGCCTCAGATGGCACCTAGCATTTGTTTTTCTGACAATGCAAAAAAAATGTGCAACTCTGCCTATATCAGTCGAAAGTGACGAATGTGGCCACTAAGCCGAGCCCACTCATATTTTACTCTTACATACTGCACAGAGCCTCTGACAAAGAGAAGGAAACCTGAAAGCACAAAAAAATATCTTACAAGCTATTTTACACTGACAAAAAAATATAAAATATTGAGCAACAAAGACGTTACCTAAGATCATGTGTTACTGATACGCTGACAACTAAGGTCGCTCCAATTTAAAAAAAATTACCCCAGAATAACTGGTCTCCCATATATATATATATCAATGGGTACAAATTAATTTCCATAGAGAACTACTTGTTTATATGAAGAGACTCAAGAGGATATGAGAATGGCTTGGAGGAACTTCTTCTCCTTTTGCCTCTTCGTCCTCCAGGAACAGCAGCCGATCTTCATCGACGCCTGTGATCCTTCCTAGGACATAGGCCGCCTACAAGGGTCCTCCAGGCATCACGATCCTGAGCCAATCTCTCCAGCTTCCCCCAAGTATGGCCAAGTTTCTTGGTATCTGCTTCCATTTCATGGCACCAAGTGTTCCTCGGCCTGCCTCTTTTCCATTTCCCTGAGGGATCCAGTTCAGGGCTTGTTTAGTTATGCTGGAGGCAGGTTTCCTAAGTGTATGGCCGATCCATCTCCATCTTCTTTGGAGGATCTCATGTTCTACCGGTTTCTGCTTTGTCCGCTGCCAAAGTTTCTGGTTCCGGATTCTGTCAGGCCAGTGAATCCCGAGAACCCTTCTTAGGCAGTTATTGGTGAACATGAAGGACTGGATTCTCTTTATATTCACAGCAGTGGTTCTCCATGTCTATACACCATTTAATAGAACAGGTTTCACCATGGTTTTGAAGGTTCTGATCTTTAGGTTGTTACTCAAGTGTTTGGACCCAGACATTCTAAGAGTTATCCCGGGACAACGGGAACAAATTCTCCTGCATCTGTTGTTGGGTATGGGAGAGAAGCAGCAAAATCGAGGTCGTCAAGCTGGTATACCATTCCGCTTCTGCTCTGTGGATGTTTTCATCAACCAGTCAATGGCCAATAGAAACAGGAAAGTCGAACATCCTTGCCTCACACCGGTCTTCATCTGGAAAGCATCGGTCATCTGTTGTCCGTGTCCACTCGGCAGGTCATCACTTCATTGGAGTTCCTGATTAAGTCAGTGATTTTAATGTCTCAACAGCCTCCAGAGGGTTTGACTATCCACACTGTCAAAGGCCTTCTCGTAGTCAACAAAGTTTATGCAGAGAGGCAAGTTCTATTCCAGTGATTGCTCTAGGTAATGCACAGTGTTGCAATTTGGTCTGTACAGGATCTGTTGGTGCGGAAGCCAGCTTGTTAGTCTCGCAGCAGGGGGTCTTTCATTTTGTTGAGTAATACGCGTTTGAAAACCTTGCCTGGGATGGACAGTAAGGTGAGCCTTCTATAGTTGGATCAGCAGCTTAAGTCCCCCTTCTTTGGGATTTAAATGAGCTATCCCTCCTTCCACTCAGAAGGAACCTGTTCTTCCTCCCAGATCTTCATGAAGAGAGGGTGTAGCATCCCTAAACTGGTGTTCACGTCAGCCTTCAGTGCCTCTGCTGGGATGCCATACGGTCCTGCAGCCTTGCCATTTCTAAGTTGTTTGATGGCAATACGGATCTCTTCTTTGGTGGGTGTGTTACAGTCAATAACCAGGTCACTGTCAGCTGGCTGGATATCTGGTGGGTTACTTGGCTCTGGCCTGTTTAGAGGTTCCTCGAAGTGTTCTTTCCATCTGTTTCTCTGTTGCTCTTCATTTAGTATGTTCTTACCATCTTTGTCCTTCACTAGTCTCTCTGGCTTCCTGAACTTCCCAGTCAATTTCTTGAGGGTAGCGAACACTTTTCGCATATACCCCTGGTAGGCTGCTTCTTCCGCTTCTTCGGCAAGCATGTCTACAAAGTTCCTTTTGTCCAACTTAGCACTTTTCTTTACTTTCCTATTTGCTTCCGAGTACTCTTTTTGGGACCTAACTTTCTGCGCTCATGTACGGCTGTTGTTAATTTCTGCCTTCTTCCCTGTTCTCTCTTCTATCATCTTCAATGTCTCTGCTGTTATCCATTCTTTGTGTGTATGTTTCCTGTTTCCCAACACTTCCTGACATGTTTATTTGACTGCTTTCTTCACTTCGTCTCCTAGCAATTCATGTACTTGGAACTTGTTGGATAGAGTGATCTTGAACTCTTCCTGTTCGGCCTTATCTTTCAGGAGGGGGATGTTGCAGCGCAAGCAATATGTTGTCTGGTCAGTGTGGTGCCTTTTCAGTTTTAGTCTCAGCCGGGCCACTAGAAGATGGTGGTCTGAAGCAACAACATCTCCTCTTCCGACCCGTACGTCAGAAATCATTTTCTTCTTCTTCTATATTTTAAGGGCCCACGATCAATTTATTGATCATTTTGGCTCCTATGCATGTAGATGGGATTTGCAATGTTTCTCTTACTGATGTTGATGAGGAAATCATGCACTAGGGGTTTGAAGGCTTGAGGCAATAGACATTTTAAATGATTATTTGCAAGAGATTCTGTATACAGTGACTTTAAAACCCTAAGGTTAAACCTGAAAGCTGATTAATCGGTTTACAAATATGCTAACACTGATTAATTTTCAAAATGGCAGATTACTAATTAATCAGTGCATCTCTACTTACCACAGAGGACCAAAAGCCACCACAGCCAGGAGTCAGCATCTGCGACATTATTTCCCCAATTGTTGTGCTTAAAAAAAAAAAGAAGAAGAAAATTGCCATAAAAGAGTTAAGAAAGATTTTTTAAAAATAATAATAATGCAATGGTAGATATAACAAAGTTTGAAACATCATTATGAATTCTTTAAATAAATAGTCCAGTGGAATATGGTATTAGTGGAATTATATTTTTCAGTGCTTCTCCAAATACACAATATAGTCTAACGGAATATAGCAGAGATTTTTTTTTAAAAATATAAAAACTAGGGCTGAACTGGGGGGCTGACATGGATACTCGGAAATGCCGAATATTACACACCCTGAGGATACCCAGGCCAGTGAATCAGAACCAGGTCTGGCTGTTTAAATAAATGTAAATCCACACTTTTAAACACAAATGTTTTTCATTTTTATCTGAATTAAATAAATAATAGAAAACTGATTAGTGATTGGTGCGAAACTAAATGTATGCTAAATGAAACTGAAAACTTCTGAAAATAACAATGTACTTGTTGATTATTTGACTTGGCAAGATGCATATCTTTGGTTATGATCACAAGCACTTTCTGTCTACCATTAAAATTTCCTTTCACATGCCGGCTGATGATACTGAATAGCCAAAGTTTTATTCTATTTTGTTATTTCTAAGTTCCATCGTGTATTCAATAATAGTAATTGATTAAATAATAGTAATTAACAGGCATTAAACTCAAGTGAAGAAATCGGGACAAGAAGAATGGCTAAGATGGCTTTGCCTTGATGATGATACAAACATTTATTAAAGTGATATGCCTATATTGGTATAAGAAAAATGAAAACAAATACCAACCAGAAACACTCATGCATATATAGCAACTTTGTTCCGTGTTTGATTTTTTATATGCTATTGGTCAGTATTATATGCTATTCATTTTATGAATCTTTCAAATCAAATATATTCATGATCATTACTGTTTCTATACATGTAGTTTTCACTTATCCCCACATTTCTCTTTTTTTTTTTATAGATCATTCTCAAATTTTAAATACCAGAAACCAAAGCTACCAGGTTTATTCTGAAAATACATGGACTCTGTACAATTCAATTGTTTTTAATTTTAATAGATTTTTTTATTTAAATAATTTTAAGTGAACTTTTGTGCACTTCTGAATGAAAAATTAAAGTCTAATGAAAAAGTCTGACTTATTTTGTACATAGGAGAAGTCACAGCTCTGTAACTGTAACTTAGTTATACTGTGCACCATTCCAATTAACTACATACCTTTACAATGACTACCCATTTCACTATGCTCAAGCCCAGACCGGACAGGGCACCACATCTTCCTGCAACTGTGTTGGACAGGCAAAGGGATAAAAGGAAACCAAGCCAGTTGAAAAGAAATGAGACTGGGGAAAAAAATGTTGTCACAAATCAATGATAAGCTTCAACGTTACAAAAGCAATAGATTTACTATCTTTAGGTAAACCGATAACAATTAACAGCAAATAAATATCTTCAAATGTCGAGATTTAATGACCACAAAAATCACAAACAAAACATGACAATCAAATGGACCCAGGTAATTCCCTAAAGAAATAACCATTTTTAAAACTCACTCAAAAATGTGCAGATAAACATGCCATCAGTTCCAATGGCTATTTCTGGAATGCCATCTGGTCCTGTGAGCTATTTAGAAAAAGGAATATCGAGCCATTAAAAATGTTTAACATTTGCAGATGAGCAACTTATTGCATAAAAAAGAAAGAACCTTTGAAGCAATAACTCTGGAAATTTAAGTGATGTAATAAAGAGTTGTATTTTTAAAATTTGACCGTGGTTAAACGTACTCTTCCTCCTTCACATTCAGACAGTGTTGAGACACCAGATGCTGCCGCCGCTACCTCCTGCTCTAGTTTGGTCCTCTCAGCTTCTTCATAAGTTGGTAAATTTGTTGCATCCTCATAGTTTGGCAATTTGGCTGGGCCATAAGCAGGAGTATCTGAAAATATGAATCGTACAGCTGTATGTTATAGTACAATAACAAAACAGAATAGAAATTAAATTTTTTTTAAAAAGTTTTAGTAGCAGTAATAGAATATTTTAAATTTTTCATAATGGGGAGGAGAATTTGCATCATATCAGTAGAATCCTGATGATTCCAACTCAATTGACTAAAATAAAAAATCTGTGCAGCCAAACTACAGAATGCGCAAATTCAATAACTTGTGAAAACACACATAATATGCATTATTTGTATGCTTTTGAATTTTTTAAAATAAAAATTGAGTCCTATATTTGGAATGCTAAATAGCTTGGATTCTACCAAAAATATATAGTTCATTTTGAGAGAAATAAATACTGAAACTAATGCAGTTAAAACATAAAAGCAATTGTATAAACCTAACTTATAAACCTAAACCAATTATAAATATTAATACTATTGAAACATTTTAGTGTAAGTAAAATAAGGCTATTTAAAAAAAATTTGACCTTTCATACTCAGAATGTTTCTATATCTTTCTTAATCTCAGCAAGGTTATTCAGATAAGTTATCAAATCTTTGGTCTAGAAATGATTAAATTGTGCCCTATCACCATTATCCCACAAAATACTCAGCTTTATATAAACTTTTTTTAAAGTAAGTCATTTATTTGAAACATAGATTAAACCTGATTTAACATTTAACACATTTTTTGAAAACACAATTTACTATTTTATATTTACATCTCCTACCTCCATGTTGCTCCACAACAGCATTTTCAGCATAGCCTGGTGGTGGAATAACCATTGCCATGGCTACTGGTTCTGCAGGTACATTTTGTTCCTCTGAAGGTAGCTGAAATTTATATTTACGAATGTTTGTATAAGATGCTTAAAATGCTTTAACAATAAATAATTGATTTAAAAGAGGTCACATTAAATTGATATCTCCCACTGAAAGATGGGGGGGGGGCACAATTTTTATATATTTAAGTAAGTAGATGGCAGCAAAAGAAGTTTAATTAGGTAATTTAGCACATGCGGCTAACCTTGAAGATTATTGGCGAATATTAATTAGTATTAGAGACAGGAAATATATTGACTTTATTAAAAAAATTAAAAGGTGTGTGTTGCAATGTTTAGACTGAATTTTGAAAAATATTTAACCACTGTTATTGTTTGTCAATTATTGCAATATAATATAATTAACTAACTGCAATATTTTCACCCAACAATGCTAAAGCTTGATGCCTAAACAGGCAATGAAAATGAAATGAAATCTTCCTGACAGCAACAATTATAGACCCTAAGGCTATGGTGGTTAGATGGAAGACATTTTAAAAACTTTTTAGTTACTCAGGTGGGGCAAAAAAGTTGAGAAACACTGTTCCAACATTTCAGCTAATATTAAGGTCAATGATTTCATGTCATTGTATAGGCTTATTTGCTACTGATATTTCTCCACCCTATATTATATAGGGTGTCATGGGAAACTCTTAAAGAGGATTATAGGCCTATTGGACTTTGATCTATTTAATTGATATTTGAATCATTCAGGCCAGGCCTGCACAATTCAAATGTAAGATGGGTCGTAACACATTATGAAAAATTTGTGCTGGCCAAAAGAAAATAATAATAAAAAAGAAAATTTCATTACCTCGGGGGCCACAAAGTGGGTCATGGTGGGCCACAAGTATGTTAACAATCCCACTACTGAGACTACACAAGAAATTAAAAAGGGGGAGGGCGCGATCGCGGGTCATCGGTGGGTATTCCACCATAACCAAGAGACACAAAGTTGCTACGACCAATTTTTCACTCTCCCCTAGATTTTATTTCCTGGCAGTAGTAAATATGGGTAACATTAGCATTTATGCCTGTATGTAAAACAAAAAGGTAAAAATTTATGAACCGGGTATCATGAACTTATGTCTGAGTGAATAACGAGCATACCTTAGTTGATATTTTTTTTAATAAATATCATTGGATTAGTAGGAATATTGATTCCACCATTGCACCTTTCAGAGAAGACTATTACTAGAATTAGTATATAATTGTACATGATCCCCTTTCTTCGATAAACTACTTTACGCCTAAAGAAATAATTTAATATTTAAATTCATTATGATTTATGTTATAAAGTAGCAACAGTCAGTATGAAACTACTAAAGCTAGTTGTTAGCTTTTGGAATGTTTTTTTTTTCCCTGCCGTTTTGGCTAGTTTATCCTTATTTAGGCTTAGGCCTGCGTGAGGGAGGAAGGATTGCACTTTGAATCCACCGCTTAATATGCTTAGGGCGCTTCGCCCATGGTGTATTATGCTTAGAAGTTAAAGTCCTCTACCTACCCTACACAAAAACGGACCAAATTGTAAAATTGTATATAACTAAAAAGACTTTGTTACTTAATTTGAGTTCAGTAGGTCGGCTTAAAGCAAGGGCTTTGTAATCTATACATTTAATTCTCTAGGTATGAAATAAAGTATGGTGTAATGTGAGTTCAACAGCGTGCATAATAAAATTTCTGGTAACTGCGCTAAATAAGATTCTTAAAATACAGCAGATACGTGATATTTTCTCTTGCTTTAGGGAAAGAGTTTCAATTTAAATAAAGCTATGGCTATGGTGTTATAAATCTGCAGTTTGAAAGGGGCTGGGATATCAGAATATGAATACAGCTCAAATAAATTACTAACAAACTTGCTCTTTAAAAATTCATAGCTCAAAATTTGAGCAAAAGTACAAAGTGACTAAAGTTAAAGCTAGAAAGTAAGAAAGTTTATTTTCGTTTCATTTTTTAAAAATTTGAAGTTTTTTTCTCAGATGGGCTATAAAAACTCATGTTGTTCCATTTTGAAGAACTAATTTAAATGGTTATTCTTTTATTGAAACTAAACTAATAGTACCGTGTAGGGGTACCCAGTCTAGAGAGGGCCACAGGGTTTTTGAAGGCATAAAATTAAAAAGCAAGAGTGGACGCTGTTTTCTAGTTGAAGTGCCAGACTGACCTGCCATGATTTTAAATGACATGGACATGAGTAAATAAAGTATAAAGTGAGATATCTTCCCAGCTCACTTATTGTATTGGACAGATGGGTGGCTCGTGCAGACCAGATCAGACACCGAATCTACAAACATTCCGCCGCTGAGGTTCATCAAATAAACTATAGACTATTGTTTTCTTTTCATTTCATACTTCAATACTCAGACTAACTTAAACTAGTATTAATTTATAAATGTTAATAGAAGATTATAATGATTTTTAACATATTTTAATTCAAATTTTTCATTACCACTTCGTAGCGGACGTTAGATCTCGCCATTCCTGCAGTATTACGTCTCGAAATAACACTGATTGTTTAATTGATTGTTTAAATGCCTTTCACTAGAGTGTTGTAACTTTCTATACACAAAAAAGAAAATGGCTGCTTTGTATGTAAAGATAAATCTTACGCGACATCTCATTGGTTTATAACATTACAGTATTAAGGACTGGATATAATACTTGTATTTTTGTTTTAAAATAGTTCACGAATTTACTAAATTGTCAACATCTTTGCTTTTGTAGCCTAAGTTGTTGAATTAATTAAAATTTAATCTTCACAACTCTATATTAATATTATATGTTAACTGTGTACGTTTTAATTATAATGCAAGCAAATAATTTAATTTTATACGTTAAAGTTAACCCCCTTTTTCCTAAATCTAAATATTTATTTTAAAAAACTAAAAATATATACAAATTCTAGCACTAAAGGCTCACTTCAGAAAATTTTATTCGTGGACTCAAACTTGAATACAACAATGTTTGAGGCTAGGTGACAAGCTATTGGAAAAATTATAATAAGTGACAAGACATTTATATCATAAGTCTAATAGGCTATTGAACAATTTTTATTTTTCAAATTTCGACTATTCTTTTTCCGAAAATGATGTGTATTCCTACTAAACACACACACCTCATTTTATCGATAGGCTGTATTAGTTATGCACCACGCGACGAATTGCCCCTCTACGCAAAGTAGCCTACAAAACGAGCGTTCATTAGAATATTAGTAGCCTATTTATTCATATACTAAAAAAAAGACTAATGCATGAATAAAAATGAGGAGAGTTTATTTCTTTTGAAAAAATGATTTTTTCCCCGCCACTTAGACATTTAAATGCTTTCTTTCTAAAATACCAATTTTCTTTTTATTCTGAACTCCCAGTGAAACTTAGGCCATTGCACAGAAGGTTTGCAGAGCAGTCTCTTCCAGAATATCTTTTTTTATCACAAAATTTCTGAGCCTTATTGAAAGGCTACATCAGAAGTGATTTAACTTTTGAGTTAAAAATACTAAAGCAAATAGGTAAAAAGATCAAACTTATAAGACTTTTAAACATTATCAATTTTGACTATTTTCAAATAATTTTAAACACCAAAATTAAAAAAAAAATAAAGAAAGAATAACAAAAATCTGTGTTCCTTTTCATACATAACTATACATGATTCCAATTTATGAAAACTACAGAAAAACAGCCCTTTTTATAAACTATTAGACTGGCCGCCTCTGGTCTAAAATTTAAAGGTCCACTCGCAGCATAGAAACCACAGGTAAACTGCCACTGCAAAATCTTTTCTCAAGCTGCAACGACTTCTAAGCATGTATAAAATAAATTTTTAGCCATATTTTCCAAAACTAAACAGTTTTTACCCTTGAAAATTGGCACAGCGCTGACTTCTTTCAGCAGTTTTTTCAACCTTCGAACAATAGTTTCGATAATTTTTTTAATGTGTCTTCTGAGACATAGATGGACTGGCTTATGGCTTAGGAAAGAGGGCGTCCTACCCGGGACGCCATGTTTGGGGGGAGATAAAAATGATCTGCTGAATAAACGTTCGACGGGTTTTGTTTGATGTGCATTCGGCATCCTACATTTGGTCGTATTTGTGAGTAGTGAGTGAGGGCTGGACACAGCTAAGAGCCATATTGAGGGTCACAAACTCCCAACTACGAAACTGCCTAAATCAAACTGTCTCACATAAAGGTAAATGTGGGTTAGTAGGCCTCGCTTATGATTCATATATGATTCTAATCGCACCATTTTTTTCCCCAAGAGTTTATCGCATCGTTTGAGTGTGTGTGTGTGTGTGGTTTGGTGTAACTGAACAACACGCTTAAATCGACACTTTCAGAGGTATTGATTATATTTCTTTGCAAGAGAGAGCTTTTTGACCTATTTCCACAGTGAAGTGACATGAAAATGTCATAACTCTAAGTACGATTTCCTAAGCTTTGAATTACCGTATTTATTGGCGTATAACACGCACCTTAATTTAAGAAGGAAATTTCAGGGGAAAAAAAAACTAAACAATATATCGGCGTATAACACGCACACATGATTTCCCCCCCCCCCTACTTTCGGGGGAAAAAGTGCGTGTTATACGCCAATAAATACGCTAATTATTCATCAAAATAATTTAAGAAGGAAAATTCAAGGGAAAAAAAAACCAAAAAATATAACGGCGGAAAACACCCAAACATGATTTCCCCCCCCCCCCTACTTTCGGGAGAAAAAGTGCGTGTTATACGCCAATAAATACGGTAATTATTCATCAAAATAACCAATAAATACGGTAATTATTCATCAAAATAACCAAATAAACTTGCAACTAAAAATTGATGTATCCCCCCAATTCAGGGCCGGCTCAAGGCACCGGCCACTCGCGCAGTTGCCCGGGGTGCCACCTGCTTCGGGCGCCAACAACGATCTTGAAAAATATGAAAAAGCGTTCCACATGGGCACCATGCAAGAAAAATAATTTTTATTGCCAAACGTTTGTATGTCGTACTACATAAATCGTATTGTTCGTGCACGGAAGGTGGTGGCAAAGGTAACTGCTGACCAAGGCGGCCGCTGCCTTCGTAGATGCATTAAGTTCTTTTGTCTTTGTCAAGGATTATTTTTATGATTGTACTAAAAATTGGGTGCAAAATATAAGCTGGCCCGGGGCGCCAGCAACCGTTGGACCGGCCCTGCCCACAATCTAAAAAGTCAATTAAAGAAGATCCTAAAATATTTCACACACAATTTCATGTACCATAATCATATGCTATCAATATATTTCAAGCAGTAGCGTCACTAGGGGGTGCGGACCTGACTGGGGTACACCGTCACCGTGGGGATGACACCAATAGAAAATTTGAAAATGTTCGCTTAAGTCCGTTCCAAAACAGAACTCAGTTAATTACCGGAGCAGGGTACTACGAGATCAGGTTGCAGCCCCCCCCCCCCCCCAACACGGTGCCACCAGAAAGAAAAGGGTGCTATCAGAGTAGATTGCCATATGGGAAGGCTGCGTCAGATCAGGTTTACTAGGGCAGTTTGTCGTTAGTGCAGGCAGACTCAATAAGTCAATGGGTGTGTCTGAAGAGAAGGGAGTATGTTTAAACCATTTGTTTACCGTATAGGTTAACGCCAACCTTAATGACGACACTTACTTTATCATATTGTAAACCTCCCATCTGACACAAAGACACTTTTCTCTTCTAGGTCCGACGGACTTGGTTTTTTTGGTCAAAATCGCTAGTAAGCAGCGCTAATTTAGAAGTGAAAGTCGAGTTTTACATTTTGGTTTATTCATCTCTCAGCAAATTTAAATTGATTTCATTTGAAATCTGCAAATATTTTTGGCAATAGTAAAATCGTGACTGATGTTTTTTAGGTCAACACTGAGAGAAGCATTTGGCTCTTAAAAAAAAAAAAAAAAAAATCAGTGTCAAATAGTGACCAGGGACGTCATTTGGGTAGGGTAGGGTTGGGCATTGCCCCCCCCCCC